AACACATATGTACTTAATCCTTATATTCTTAATTTAAATGAGCAATTTTTGTTGATGTTGATTATATATTCGCTTAACAGCGCAAGAGAAACAGCAAAAGAGAACAAAGATAAAAACGTAGATAGAACTGCCTTTGTTAGAACTGCGCGTGAGATAAATATATAAGGATTAAATAATCATATAAGAATTAGAGGAAATGGGAGATGAAAAACACTTTTTATTCTCATCATTCTTAAAGTTCTTTTTTCTTTTTTTTTTCTCTTTTTTTTTCTTTTCTTTTTTCTAATGAGAATGATGAGAATTGTAGCTCTCAAAAGAGCTGAAGCTGCAAAGGCAAAGACAACGGTTATGTCTAATAATGCTGTTTCACTAATAGAGATTTTCATTCAGATTCGGTACAATAAGAAAGATAAACAAGAATGAGAAACGGACATTCTAGCAGATTCTAAACGAAAACAGCAATCTGAGCATTATTAGACGAATAAAAATCAACACTTGTAAAATTTATATCAGATTCTAAGATCATTATTCATAGTTTTCTAAATTGTGTGCAACTTTTTCATTGAGAATACATAATACATAATTAAAAATTTGTATTCATAAACCTTAGCTTGCCTCAGCAACCTTGTTTGAATAGACATTCATATTTTATGAGAAAAGAAAAGTAGAACTCATGTTACGTGAAATTAGGTTAACGAATAATTAAATCTCAAGCTATTTTATTATTTTTCAGGTGATAAACTATGAATGCTGATCTAATTTCGACTCGGGTATGTCCTTACTTCGAGTAAGGTCCGTTAAAATCAGAAAAATCCTGCGTAATAATAATGACTCGAGGTACCTCGAATACCATACATGACGTATCGCTGTCCACGTCTCTCGGCGCGCTCCAAGTCCTCTCTCCATCCTGACTTCTCGATCCGACGTCCTCCTTCTGGTTATTCCGTCGCAGCACCCCCGGATACTCCATCGTAGCACTGGCGACGACACTGACTCTAGCTCTAACACTCGCGCAAGTAAGATTCGGACAAAGAAACGCGTATTAACCGATACGACTACCGACCGACACTCGTACTACTCTGCGTCGCGGTATGCGCGTCATTCGTCGGCCCGAGGCGCAATGTCCTTTCCGCAATCACGGGGTCACGTATAAGCGTACGAAACCAAACAATCGGGAAAGCACGGTTACCCCCCACCTTGCCGATCAGTGTTGATGCCTGCGTCGTCCGTTAGCTGAAAATGAAAACAACTCATGTTTTCAAAGCATGCCTGTGAGAGACTCGCTTCAAACTTCACAATACTTATTTACGTCTGTTCCAAGAATCATATTACGCCGAATTCAAACTGTCTCTATTGACATGACATACACGAGATCTGCGATCGCATCATTGATCTTTCTTTGGACAAGAAAATCCTGAGAGGAACGCTGTTCGAGAATATCACATTTTATATTTCAGGTGCCTTGCAGATTATCGAATCCGACGTAACAGATCAGGGAAAGTATGAATGCGTCGCTATGAATAACACGCGTGAGCATGGAGTACTCCAAGTCAATCACGTTATACGTGAAACGTACGTATATTTAATATTATAAAAACTTATCTTTTTAAACAAAAAGGCGCCAAGTACAAGCGCAACGCGTATTGTGTTATTTTTGGAAGTATCAAACACAAATTATTTTTTTTATTGTATATATGTGTACATAAGTTTTTACAAGTAAAACTTATAACTATAATAAAACTCTGCAACACTTTTCTACTGTACAAAAGAAGTGATATATTAGAACAGTAGCGCCAACTGAGAAACCTAACATATATATATATATGATTATTATTATTATACTTAACTTAATATTTTTAGAAATCTCAAATTCAAATTGTTTTCTTTTTTAAGATATATATTATGTACATAACATAAGTTTTTATAATATATATACATAAACTTTTAAAAGTAAAAATTATATTGTGTTATAAAAATTTAACACGTTTGTTAGTAGTATCCAATATTTAAAAAAAATATATTTTTAAATATTATGTACATAACATAAGTTTTTATAAGTAAAACTTATCAAATTATTTTTTTGTAAGATATATATGTACATAAACTTTTAAAAGTAAAAATTATATCGTGTTATAAAAATTTAACACGTTTGTTAATAATGTCCAATATTTAAAAAAAATATCCTTTTAAAGGTTATGTTATTCAAAATATTCAAGAAAACCTAGCTACAAAATATGTCCATAACATAAATTTTTACAAGTAAAATTTATCATTATTTATTAGAACACTGAGTTATATGGTTATTTTACTTGTTATTGTAACAAATTTATTATTATAACAATGCAATAAAAAATATTTGATACAAAATATCTTGGCGCGGCTTCACCAGAAACTATATCGAACTAAAACTTGTTTAATACATATATGACAGCATTTTTATTATAAGATATTCTATAGTGAAGGTTTATAATTTATTTATTATAATACTATATAAACTTAAATAAAACGTTATACCGTATATGTATAAAGAGAATTTACAAGAACATTTTATTATAATAAAAATGTCATGTATGTATTAATCAAGTATTAGTTCGGTATAGTTTTTGGTGTTTTTTAGAATTTAGAATTATTAAAATAGAGAATTATTCTTATTTAAAGCGTGAGCGAATTGTGCTGTAAATATTAAAGCTTCTTAGTCGTTACGCGGGTGTTTTCATTTACCCGAGTGTAAGCGCGAGTGTGAGAGTGAGCGCAACAATATTATTAATAATAAAATATTTGTAATAATTTCAGTGCGCCGAGTAAACAAAACTTTCAGTATTGTCATAGAGAGGAAAGGAGAGAGAGAGAGAGAGAGAGAGAGAGACAGTCGCGCCCGCGATTCAGATTATGGGCAAGAAAGAATTAGGCTCGCTGAGCGAGAACGAGAGCGACAAGGAGAGAATGATATTCTCTCTTTCTCTCTCTCTCTCTCTCTCTCTCGCTCGCTCGGCGCGTCGACAATTGCCGATCGCGTGGCTCACACGGATTGACCGAGCTGGCTGTGTGCGTATATGGGGGGGGGGGAGGGGAATCCTCGTGCAAGCCAGTCACCAAATTCGCATCACTGATACCAATGATATCAATACCGAACAAGCTGCGGACAAGCGTAACTTGTAAATACCGGAGATCAATTGTTTATCAGCTCATAGACAATTAATATGACGAGATACCCGCGGAGACCCGTGTACTTCTCTTTCGTCTTTGCGTACAATTGCGATCAATAAAAAATTTTCACGAATTGTTCGGTTTTGACATCATTGGTATACGTGTGTACGAGTGTGTATGTGTACAATTGCGTACACGTACAATTGCGATATACACTTATCACGTTAGCATTGATCATTTTTATTCATGCTAAAAGAAATAAGTATGATTATGTAAAGAATTTGTCTGCGTATTATTATACATTCTACATAGTTCTCCCTGCGATAGTAAAAATAACACACTTGAACAACCTCTACGCTCATATCACAAAGCCTGATCCACTGTGCTACTGAAGCAAATTGGTAATTCTTCTGCTATAACGACATTAACAGAAAAGACTAAACTTCAAACTACATTTCTCAAAAATGTTTAAGATTTGCACCGTTTTTGGATAGCATTTGTTACTATTACATCAATATTATACTTTTCTAAAAGCAAAATCGCACGGTGATTTCAAGGATGAAGTTTCCTCTCGTGTGAGATATATATTAATTATACATTCTTTATTAATGGGAAAAGATTTTCCTTTGATTTAAATGTTCAAGAAAAGTTATTTGTCCTCTGAGAATCTTTCAATTTTTATATTCGTGAAAAGTTTATAAAATTCGTAAAGAAAAAAAATTATTTTACTACCTACCTGTTCAAGAGTTGCGCATAAGAGATATTTTAACAAATCTGAATCTGAATCGGTCAACAAATTAAACTTTTCATTCAAAGAAGCATATGTAGGGTAAGCATAAGTAAGATAAGTATAAATAATAAATTAAATATTATTCTCTGAATATAATAATAAATAAATGTTTTTTTCTTTAGCTGAATCATCGAAGTAAATATTCTATTATAAATTGATTTTTCGAATTACAATATTAATTTGATTTTTCAGAGTACGCTTTAAAATTGACTCTTCGGAATACGCTATTAAATTGACTTTTCGGAGTTTTGAATTGACTCTTCTGACTACACATTTTTTAGTTGACTCTGTGGAGTACATATTTTTTAATTAACTCTTCGGAGAGAAGAGAAGAGAAACATTTTATATTTTATTTAAAAAATCTTAATTTTTGCAGAAAACTGATTGATGAAGAAATAAATTAATTCACGACCTCAACGAAGATCTTACAAAAATTACTGCAAGAAATGAAGTTGTTGTTATTATATACCATATTGTAATATTACATTATTGCAATAAATTAAAACATACGCGCAATAATTATCTATAATTTGCATATATGGGCGTTTATGTAATTGTAAGTAATATAAAAGTCATGACAAATTAATGTGGCCGCGCGTTATCTCTGTCGCGTCATTGCTAGAAATCGTCCGAACTCTCGAAATTAGTTTCTTCCCGAATTATGAATATAAAACAATGTGGAAAGGAAAACAAGGGAGTGAAAGGGAGGACGGCGACGTCTGCCTTACGATAACATCGCTGCTGGCTCGCTTCGTCGCGATTGTCTATTCGCTTGTGACGAAGACCGCTTGAGACGAAGACCGATTCTTCGTTTTTATCTAACTAATCTAGCTCGTTCGTGAACATAGCACAGAACAGAACCAAATAATTATCGACATAGCACGGAATAGTACCGACAAATCGTGGACATTAGCTTAGTAGTTCATGTCCATGAAAAATGGACCCAGTTGGCGCTGCGAATCAGCCAACTTTTCCATAACGTTGTAAATGCAGCTATGCCCGCTCTCAGGCTTCTCTCTGGTTACGACCTTATTCTTGCAGCCAATGTAGATGGGCCTTTATTGACACGGCAGTGCACATGCGCGACGGACGGGACCGAGAGGAGAGATACCGTGTTCCGTTTCGCGCCTAAACAGTCGAGGCATGAAGAACTGAGCGCGATCCGATTGTTGATCTCTGATTAACATGGAATCCAGCACGATGATGCACAAGATTGCGAATGGAACCGCCAGCCGTCCCCTCGCGAAAATGCCGGCCAAGGAAGTCGCTCGTGGCAAGATGCACGTCATCAAACGCAGTAAGTTATGGTTTAACCAACGAGTTCGATCGTTCACTCGCGGACATGTATTTGCTCGCAAGAAATAACGTTAAACTCTCTCATGACGCGGTAATAACGTATAATGTTGTGACGTTACTCGGTTCTTGGCTTGAGCCATGTTGCAATTACAGCATTTAATCAAAGTTGCACTAAAAGTTTCTGTCTTTTATCAGATGGGCGTAAGGAGGACGTTCACTTCGATAAGATCACTTCGAGAATCGCCAAACAGTGTTATAGCTTAAACATGAATTACGTGGACCCAGTGAGTATTTCTGTATAGCAAAAAAGTTGCAGTAACATTGCTGCAACTTTTTGTGTTGTACGAGTTGTTGCATCATACAGTACATCAACTCTGTTGTATGACTTTTTGGTAATTATCTAGAATACGGGCTTCCTCACCGATTTCGCTGGAACTTTGCACAATTGTGTATTTTGATATGTAGAACGCGATTTTGAAAGAAAAAAGTGTCGCTCTCGAACAGATCAAAAGTTATGAAAATCTGAAAAATGACATATAAGGTTAGGAAATCTGTCATGCCGATAATACAGACTAACTGAAAAGCATGCGCAATACGTCAAAGTGTAAGATAGTGCATATAAACGCGGTGGCTCCGCCCCTCCCCCCGCACCCCCTCCAAAAAACCTTAACAAAGATGCAACTTAATGCATCTTTATATATTGTTAAGTTTATTGCGTGAGTTTTAAACATTTTAATCTTTACAACAATGCCCAACAGCACATGAAGATGCAATAAGTTGGGTTAGGATTTCTTTCGGGTGTGATGGGGTGGAGCCCCTCCCCTACTTATATGTACTATCTTACACTTTCCAACCAAGAAATACAGATTATAAGTTCTGTATTATCGGTATGACAGATTTCCTAACTCTACGTGTGTCATTTTTCAGATTTTTATAACTTTTGATCCATTTGAGAGCGACACTTTTTTTCTTTCAAAATTGCATTCTAAACATCAAAATACATAATTATGCAAAGTTTCAGCGAAATCTGTAAGGAAGCATGTACTTTAGATAATTACCGACTTTTTATATGTAATTGCAGTTTAAGATTCTGCATTATATATTTGATATATACTGTATGTACATATATGTGGTGCATGTATTTGTTTACATGCGCTTCTATGATCTCTTGATAAGGGATAAAATCTTATTTCTGTGCACTAGACCATCATGTTCTTAATTGTCATATATATATATATATATACATACACTGGATATATAAATTCTAGCAGTTTCTAAAAGTGTAAATTTATATATCGTACATAAATGTATCCTACCTTTGTAGTCTGCTGTTGCAATTCAAGTGATACGTGGTTTGTATTCTGGAGTAACTACAGTTGAATTGGACAATCTTGCTGCTGAAACTGCTGCTACTATGGCAACTCAACATCCTGATTACGCTATATTAGCTGCACGAATTGATGTATCTAACTTACACAAGGAGACTAAGAAGAGCTTCAGTGGTACATTCTGAACCTGTTGATTTAATTCAGTCAATGTATCACAACGTTCTTGATCATAATCTTAATAACTTATAGAGGTGATGCACGATTTACATTATGCCAGGGATCCTATCACGAATGAACCAAATCCTGTAATCAGCGAGCACTACTACAATATTATAAAGAGAAATGCAGAGAGATTAGATTCTGCTATAATATATGACAGAGATTTCAATTACAATTATATGGGTTTCAAAACACTGGAGAGAAGCTATTTGCTCAAAATCAACGGCAAGATAGTAGAGAGACCGCAGCACATGCTGATGAGAGTGGCTGTTGGCATTCACGAGGATGATATTAACAAGGTTATAGAAACGTATGATTACTTGTCTGAACGATATTTTACGCACGCGTCGCCAACGTTATTCAACGCCTGTACTAAGAACCAACAGATGTCCAGGTACTTACAATGATGTTTAATTAATACGCAACAGTACATTGTGCACTGACAAGAGCCCCTCTTTACGCAGCTGTTTCCTTTTAACCCTCAATGACGATTCGATAAAGGGTATTTACGGCACACTAAAGAAGTGTGCACTTATTAGCAAATATGCCGGTGGAATAGGAATCAATGTGCATTGCATCCGTGCAAAGGACACTGATGATACGTACGATACGGATGCAACCAACGGATTGATTTCTGTTCTGAAGTTGTACAACGACATTGCTATTTACGTTGATCAAGGGGGGAACAAAAGACCCGGGGCGTTTGCTGTCTATTTGGAACCATGGCATGCGGATATCTTCGATTTTCTGGAACTCAAGAGAAACATCGGTAATTCCTCTCTGTTTCCTTCACTTTATCACGTGGAATAATTGAGAGGATAGGGGAATATTTGAGAGAATTTCTCAATAATCAAGAAATTAGCATTATTGCAACTTTTTATTCATGTAGGGGATGGAAACTTGCGAGCCCGAGATTTGTTTTACGCGCTGTGGGTGCCAGACCTCTTCATGGAGCGTGTATTTGACGATGAGGTCTGGAGTTTGATGTGCCCGTACGAATCCCCTGGCTTGGCTGATGTGTGGGGAGATGAATTCAATGAATTATATACCAGGTATATGTTGGCGATTATCTTATTAGGTATATCATTATCATTACATTAACAAGCTACATATAATCCGCCCTTAATCAAGGTTGATCAGGTTTGATAAATTTACTTTCGCAGATATGAGAAAGAGGGTCGCTATAAGAGACAAGTACAAGCCAGAGATGTGTGGGTCACTATTCTCAGGTCGCAAGTAGAGACTGGAACGCCTTATATGCTCTATAAAGATCACTGCAATCGAAAATCGAATCATCAACATCTGGGCACGATCAAATGCAGCAATCTGTGCACAGAGATTGTCGAGTACTCCAGTCCCGAAGAAGTAGCTGTGTGCAATTTAGCATCTATCGCCTTGAACATGTTCGTGAACACCAACAAAAAGACATTCGACTTTGATAAGCTCAAAACGGTCGTAAAGATCGTCACTCGGAACTTGGACAAAGTTATCGATGTCAATTTCTACCCCATCCCCGAGACTAAACGGTCCAATCGAAGACATAGACCCATCGGTAAGATTACAGTGGTGACTAAAGTGAGCTTTTTGTGCCGGCACGGTTGAAATGGTAGGTTTTTGAAAGAAACAACGTTACGCAAGGCGGAAACGTTCATTTATCTCTCTTAGCTGTGTTCAACGTCCGTTAAAATATAAATTGAATCGTTTAAGCTTGAGTAACTTTCGTAAGAAATTACAGAAACGGCCATTTCTGACCGCTCGACAGTTCTATCGTTGAGCAGTTTTGATTCCGCCGTATGATCAAATGTTGACCACAAGCTAGAGCTGTAAGAACCGTAAGCGTGTATCTTCAAGGTATCGGCGTACAAGGTTTGGCGGACGCGTTCCTGTTGATGCGATATCCGTTCGAGAGCAAGGAAGCGAAGGAGCTCAACATCAAGATCTTCGAGACGCTTTATTACGGCGCCTTGGAAGCCAGTTGCGAGTTGGCCGCGGAAAAGGGTACCTATGAGACGTACGAGGGTAGTCCGGTCAGCAAAGGTGTAAGTTGTGTTCGAGAAGTGCCCTAATAACTACGAAGGATAAGGCTCTTACCTAATGATCTATCTTATAACGATCTAGATTCTGCAATACGACATGTGGAATGTTAAGCCGACGGATTTATGGGATTGGGATGAGTTGAAGACGAAAATCGCGAAACACGGAGTGAGAAACTCGCTCTTGATCGCACCGATGCCAACCGCGTCGACTGCGCAAATTTTGGGCAACAACGAGTCCATTGAGGCGTACACCAGCAATATCTACGTAAGACGTGTGTTGTCCGGAGAGTTCGTCATTATCAATCCGCATCTGTTGCGAGATCTGACAGTCAGAGGTTTGTGGGGCAAAGACATGCAGAACGAGATTCTCGCGAACTTTGGATCTGTCCAAGTAAGTGACTCTGTGATCATCTCGTTTTTCTCCTCTGCTCTAATGGTCTTTCAGCGTGAATCTAAGTAGGATATGTGCCTTGCAATGTTACTTATACTTTCCAGAATATTGAACGTATACCCGATGATCTGAAAGAACTCTACAAGACGGTTTGGGAGATATCGCAAAAAGTAATCCTCGAGATGGCAGCTGATCGAGGAGCTTTCATCGATCAGTCGCAGTCGTTGAACATCCACATAGCGGACCCGTCAACTGAGAAACTCACGTCGATGCACTTCTTCGGCTGGAGAAGCGTAAGATTATTGTTTGACTTTTAAAAGTGCAGAAATAAAATCGGATATTGTTTCGCTCATTTCCATTGAATACACGTGGTTCCTACTTGACAGATTATGTTGTCTGCAGGGCTTGAAGACCGGCATGTATTACTTGAGAACGAAGCCGGCTGCAAATCCGATACAATTTACAGTGGACAAGTCGAAGTTACAAAGTCGTGACTCTCTGTCCAGCTCTACGTCCGATATCAGCAGTCCTATTAAGTCTCCCGACAAAGACGCTGACAACAGCGAGAAACGAAATCTAATCAATCAGCAAGCGAATAAAAACTTGGAGGCGATGCTCGCTTGTGCACGTGAGAACAAGGATGCGTGTATGGCCTGTAGCTCGTAAATATCTATCATTATCACCTCTACATCACTTCATTCTACATTAACGTATGTAATGGGGTTGAAGGCAAATACGTACAGTAACAGACAATAACTTTTATGTAATATACATTTGTGTATGTGTGTACGTACATAAATGTGTATGTATATCTTTTATTATCAGTAAATTAGCATCATTTTAAAACATAAGGTTAAAAGATAAGGTTTAAAACATAAAAGGTTAAAACGAATTTATACATTATAAATTTGTGATAGGAGCCTAATAAGTATGTTAAAGCATAAGTTTGATCTTCACAGAAAGTTTAAATCTGCATCTAAAATGCGCGGGAGGAGTTATACAAATTGTTGATACATATATTTTACAAGCCTATCATATTGAATGTTCAATGCTACACAGCATTAAGAATACTGGTGCTATTTACAAACTAGCCTAGTATCCACCCAATATCTTGACTGTGACTGTAAGAAATTCCTAATAGATTTTCTACTTTTGTAAATTGTATAATTTTGGAAGATCTTTTCTTCATGGTTTACTCATGCATTGTATTACATCGCTAAAATGTTTTTGATTAAAAGTGTGCATACATTAATATATGTAAATTTATCGAAATAAAAATTTATAAGAAGTTAGAAAGTTGAAGTATTTATACTTTCCCTGTGATGTCTTCCAAGTGGAAACCAGCTCGATCGAGTAAAATTGAATATCAAGAAATATATGCATAAATATCACATTGTACAAAGAAAAAATACCTTTGCTCGATGAGAAGAAGCAAAATTCAAGAAGTTGTAATTTCCACAAACATATTAGGTGCTTGCAAAAAATTTGTATGTCAAAGCCATCTTTATTTATTAATAACAACGAGATGACAATATTTTGACCAAAATATTGGTTGTTACCATTGATACTCTACTGGTAAAATTACTTTTTTCAGGGTTAAATTACTTTTTTTTACAATTTATTCATCGATTCATTCACATTGTCTCAACATTTTGCAACTATACATCAGATAGATTGCACTGTATCGGTCTAAATAGATGAAAATCGGACAGAGATGTCTGAAAGATACATTAGTTGTGGCAGGACTTGCCAATCTAACTCTATTTCTTCAATTACAACATGTGACTTGACATTGTCATGAAGCAGAATAACTCTGTGCCGATTTGTGGCTATTTGAAAACATTTTTCCCTTGGTAGTAATAGCTTATAGTGAAGCATTCCTTCGTAGTCCCATTAGATACACAGGAAAACCTTATGATTGTAGATGTTGCATCTTGTGGATATCTCTTGTTGTCTGGAATCAACTCATGACTTTTTGTGTTCAGGATTGTCAAAGGAGATTCACTTTTCATTACCTATAACTATTCGCCACAAAAAGTTTTTTGTGCCTCCTAGCAAGCAAGGAGCAACAAATGGCAAACTGATTCACAATCGCCTTTGCACAGAGTTAACGGGAAAGCTATTCTCTTCTGAATTCTTCTGAATCTTTCCCATTGTTTTCAGATGTTGATACTGAAGCTGTTGTGATGATGATACAGTTGATTAGTCAACTTCAGGTCGCCTCGCAAGCTCCTTTGATGTTAATGGGTCGAGTTTTCATTGACCGATACCTCCAGTTTGTTATTCTCCATCTCGCTCGGAGGACTAGAACGTGGCTTATCGTTGACATTGTAATCACCGTTTTTAAACTTTTTGAACCATTTGGCACAGGCAGCAGTGGATACAGCATTTGTTCCATAGGTCTCACAAATCAATCTCTTAGTCGTTTCAACAGTTTCACCTCGATTAAAGAAATAAAGCATGCAGTAGCGAAGGTGAATTTTATCTCGTTTCATCTTCAATCGCGTTAAATGTTTAGAGTTATGAACAGCTAAACATCAAGGCTGCGTTCGGAAACGTCATTCGAGTCCGGGTGCCTCCGCTGTGCAGTATGAGAAAGACCTAGAATGAAATAAAAAAAAGAGAGAGAGAGAGAGAGAGAGAATGCTAGGGTAAAGTTTTCGAACGCAGTCAAATTCTGATTGTATGGTTCATGGTTCATGGTTCAATAGATGGGCAAGAGCACAGGCTTCTGCATAACGCATAATACATAACGCATAAGAGAATAAACCAATTAGTTCTCTTCATTTCCCTCCTCAGGATAGAAATGAAGAACTTTGATTGGTTGATTCTCTTATGCGTTGTGTATTACGCGTTATGCAGAAGTCTGTGCTCTGGCCCGATGGCTCCAAACGGATCAATTCCGCTCCTACACCAGTCATCTCTTAAGGCTCGTCTACATTAGCTGTAAGAGTAAGGCTGTAAGGTTGCAAGGCACGAAATGAAATATTTTCATTCGCTGACAGCTTACGTTACAGCCTTACAGCCTTACTCTTACAGCTATTGTAGACGAGCCTTTAAATTCTGATTGTAGCCAACATCTAAAGACTAACGGGGTCTGTTCTTTTTAGCTGCACTGCTGAACTAGTGCGATAAGTCAGAGACAACTATATTTTTTCTCACTCTAACTTATTGCACTAGTTCAGCGGTGCAGCTAAAACGAACAGACCCTAAGGGCCAGAGCACAGACTTCTGCATAACACATAAGAGAATCAACCAATCAGAGTTCTTCATTTCTGTCCTGAGGAGGGAAATTAAGAAAACTAATTGGTTTATTCTCTTATGCGTTATGCAAAAGCCTGTGCTCTTGTCCTAAGGGTGCAGTCCAGTCACCGCTACAAATGCCTCGAAGCGTTTGTACTTCTCTCTCTTCCTTCATTCGAATCCAAGAGATAGAACAAGAAAGTGAAACGCTTTGAAACACTTGTAGCGGTCACTGGACCGCATCTTAAAAAGCAACTTAAAGGAAAACAATTACTAAATTTGAATTTCTACATTTTGACCTCAAATTCGGCTTCAGCGACCAAAAAAACTGAAGTATATAAATTATTGAAAAAATCCGCTCCGTCATTTTTTTGGGGCGGTTTCAGTGTATTTTACTGAATTTTGCTCTGCCACGGAAGGGGTTAATAACTAACGACACAGTGACAGTGATATATAGATTTATTATTAGTTAAACATGTACGTGCAAAATATATCACAATTAAAATAACTTTGTATAAAAAATAGTGCCTGCATTCAAGTATAGATTTTAAAACATATTTCCGATAATTTAGGATTTCAATCACGATAAACGTTAAGAGTGAGTATTCTGATTATAAATGCAAAAAAAATTTTCGAATTTTAACATTTCTTGCGGTTTTCTTGGTAAAAATCTTTATTGTGGCTCCAATAGTGATAACCAATCGGAACAGCTTGGAAAATATGTTATCTACACGATTTTCAATTTAATATAACCTAACCTAACCCCACCAAACCTAACCTAACTTAACTTATTTAATCAAAATACCTATATATAATTTTTGAATTTATATTTTGCGTGCCTTAGCTCAACTACAAAGAACAAACTTATGATCGATACTTAGAAGAATTTCACCAGTAGATGGAAAGGCGGTAACTTTTTTCTTTAACAAGATCGGAGACGTGAAGAAGTTTCACGTAAAACCGACAGGATTTCAGCGTATAATTGCCGAGCCAAGGAAACGCGGACGTACTCTTGAATATAGTTGCATACGATATTTCATGAATGTCACTAGACATCACGATTTTTTAACCAATTAAATTGTCCTGTTGATAAAATATGGTATACGATATTTTTCATAAATTTTCGAGAATAAGGACTGCCACGCGATGCTGCTCACGCGCTTCGGACTCAGGACCGTCACTCAGGCGGGGAAACACCGAGGGCGCGGCGAATGTTCCTAGACAGCGGTGCGTGGCATCACTGCCGCAGCGGAGAGCAGAGGCCACGAAGCACACAGCGACGACGTAGAGCTATATTTATTTTGGTTTGGAAGTTAGTCCGCGAGCAGCCGTGTGTGCGTGCATCGTCTAGCGACGACGAGTTCTCACGATTTTGCTGGTCGTATTTCCAAGTACTTGCTTATCGGAGATCAAGAACTGAGAAAAACATGACCCGTAAGTTTGCCGCACAGCGCAGCAAGCCCAGGTCGAGCGTGTGCTGTCAGTCCGCGCGACGAGCCGCGGCGACGGAAGCACCGAGAGAGACGGAGAGAAAAGGAGAGAGAGAGAGAAAGAGAGAGAGAGAGAGAGAGAGAGAGAAAGCAAGCGCGAACCCGTCCCGACTTCCGCGGCTGCCATTGTCATTGACGTCGAACAGGGTCACCGAAGCGACCACGGATCGTGCGCGCGGATTCCCTCGCGGAAACCGTCAATCTTCCGACCGTCTCCCGACAAGTCGCTGGCTGGACGAGAGAGCGCAGCTTCTCGTCCCCGAGCTTCGTCGTGAATGTTTGTCCCAGCAAGTTCGGCCTCCGACGGTGGTCGATACTGCTGGAGGTGACAGCAGCAGCCGCGCACTCCCCTCGCCAAGTTCCCGAGAATGCCCTCCCGAATGTCTCCTCCCGCGAGCTTCCTCGACTCGGACCGGACGAGCACGATCGAAGAGGAGTAGCGAGCCTTCGATGGTACTCTCTCCGACTACACGCGATTGACTTCCTTCATGTCTCGGCTGGACCTCTCGTTTCACTTCGACGCACCAGGTGCATCCGCGACGCTGCGGTGACCCGTTGCAGTCGCGTGTTTACACGTCGCGACGTTGTTTACGAACGCTCGGCCTCGGCACCTGTGACGCTCTCGTGTCCGATTTTCCGAGCCAATAACTAGTAACGTCGCTCGACTCCGGAGGTATACAAATAAATATGGCGGAACGTGCGCTTCGCGTATCGTCTCCCGATTGTGCCGCTCGAGACGAGACGTTTTGCGAATTCGACGACGACCGAGCGACCGGACTCGAGAGTCGCTCGCTCGTCGATCGAGCCGCGCGCTGTGTGAGACATCCGCAGTCGCTGTCGAGTTGCTTCAGAAGCAACGCACGAGTGTGTCCGCCCGCGCGCGTGTCTCACTATTTTAGCGATTCCGCTGGTGCAAGTGCGATTTTGAATTCTGTGCGCATGCGCGCGCGCGCGCGCGCGCAGGCAGCGCCTTGTAAACACCGCGCTCGAGTTTGAATAATCGTTGGGCTGACTGCGCGTTTCGATCGAGCCTCTCGCTTTTCGTCGAGACGAAATTGTACTGTACGGTGAAAGAATGTCGGAGAATCGCTTCTTACGAGCTTAAGCACTAGTGAAATTTCTTCAGAAGTTTCATTTTAGGCGGGAATCAACGTGAACTAGCACGGGCCAAGAATATGAAAAAAACTGTCAAGAAGGCAGCAGCGGAACAAGAGAGCAATAAAGGACTTTCACTGGAACAGCGTAAAGCACGGTGAGTTCCGTCAAGAGGCATCCGCGTTGATGGATCCTGCGTGTTTGTTTCATTGCAATTTCTTTTTCTTAACGCAACTCAGTCAATTTCGAGAGCTGGCGTCGTTCGTTGACACGTTATCTTTCTCGGTCTCATGTTTGTGTCTCGTACGAATGTTGTTGACTAGCTTTTGTACGAGAATAATCAGTCTGTTGTTCTCTTGTGCTTAGTGATGCGGAACGAATGAGGGAGAAGCAACAGAAGAAGCAACAGGAACAGGGAGATAAGTCCAAGCAGGCAGCGAGATAATTCAATGGGGGAGATTGTGCATATTCTTGCAATAAGAATGGCTACCGTCAATGGCAACGTTTAAAAAATTCACGACCGTAAGAGACGAGGGTTAACGTTTTAACCGGGAAACACACAAAAGGTATATCACCATCATGTCGTTGGTGTTAGAGAATCTTCCCAGCGGTGGCCGTACAGAGCCGCGCTTTATGCAACACAGGACCTAGCCTCGATTATCTCGTTATTTACATGTATTGCTCACGAAAAACAGTTATAGTCAGTGTGTATAAAGCTTGTCGTTACCTACACCTAAATTCAGTCAATGGAACTTCGCATTTGACTGGTTTCTCTAGATATAAGGACATTAATTGATAAATATGATATTCATAGCGCTAATTTCCGATTTGTAAATTCTGACTTTCACTTATTTAATATGTTGTGTAATTAAATGTAACAGGCGAACGACTTAGGTATGTACATGTGCTATTGTCGTACCCTTTGGCTCGTAATAAACTTCAAATTTTATCAAAAACACGCATACAACACCGATGCCTCATCTGACTCGCGAGAGACCACCGAGAAGCGATCAGGCGGAAGAACATGGAGATTGTACAATCGTTTCCCATATTTTTATTGCACTTTCCCAAAAAGAGTACACTTTCTTAACATACTGTTTAATCGCGATTCCATAACTTCGCATTAATTACAAGTATTCGGAATATTAACATTGAGTCGAGTGAGAAACAGTAATACGGTGCGATAAAATGTCACTGTCAGTGGAAGACCGAACCTTAATTGCTAATATGGGGGGAAAGGGGAGGAAAGAATGTGTATGTGTGAGTGTGTGTATGTATGTATATGTGTAGTTATCATTAAACGACGAACGTATTGTCTAGCCTCTAAAGACCAAAAATCGTTAATGGGGTAGAGTCATCTGTGGGATCGAAAGTGGCGAAATTCAATCCTCCTATTTGAGAATAGTCGTTAATAGTTGTATTCTGATTTTACTAGGCTGTATTTTGGCGTTCTAACACATCTATAAGCAGGAACGTTCCGTTCGTTCTCTCTTCGCCTTCTCTCTCTCTCTCTCTCTCTCTCTCTCTCTCTCTCTCTCTCTCTCTCTCTCTCTCTCTCTCTCTCTCTGTTCTTTCTTTTTTCTTTTTTTTGCTTTTTCCCAATATTTTTCTGTTTGGCTCCAAGTTTAATAATATGCAAGGAACAACGCGCTATATTGAGCATTTATTTAATTATAATAGTATGCTACCCATGTATGTGGTAGCCCATTCGAAGAATTTACATACGATACTGCTATTTTTTTACGTATCGGAAATTCCACTCAATGCAAGAAATTGACACAGACTAACGTGATTTCCTCTCTTCACCCGCAATCAATTGTACGGTGTGGTCAATTTGTTCCGCGTACTTTCATCGATAGCTAAATTCAGGGTAACAAGCGGCTTCCTCTTCTCGCGTATCGCGCTAAAGTAGAAAATGCATTTTAGGAAATTTTGCGTCAGCCGGAATCGATCGGAGAAACGAGGTACAATCTTTCACGAGTCTCATGGCGTCGCAATGACACTCGCGCGTCAACGAAATGCGTTTTACCGGGATAAAAATGACGACGGAAAGGCACACGGCATCCGTATAAATTAATACAAAGCATAAGTTATCTCGGCACAAAATCAATGGCACTCTCGTTCGTTTCATATGATACTTTAATAATAATAATAATAATAATAATAATAATAATGCAATTTCCTAAAAACGCTGCTCCCCTCCTTCTGCTGTTACGGACATAATTCGTTAATGCCTTTACAAATGTTTCGTATACACATGTAATTTTTTTTTACGATAATATCTCGTAATCGAGTTACGTTACGGTATAAATATTCGCTTACGCCTATTTCGATGATCCAACGTTTCTTCTTACACGTGGGAAAGGTGTGTGAGACCGGGTCGCTATACGCATATTCGGGGGGACAGTAGTGCGTAGGTATCGAAAAATCAAAGTTCGATAGTATCGAAAAATCCTCAGCGGGGAAATTATATTCGTGAAGTGGCAGCTGCGCTACGGGAAGAATGTCAACTGAGCTTACCTACTCTGTCGCTACTTATTATTACAACACTATACTCGTAACAATATAGCACCATATTTGTATTGTTCGTAGGTGAATCGTGTGTCGCGAAATCGAACGGATCAATGTCAAGTCTTGGAGACCGATAAAAAAGAAACAAAGGTCGCGGACTTTTTTTTCTTATGCTATAAAAACAAATCGTACGATTGTAACAGGAAAGAAGTGTCTCCGTTTGGAAAGGTTGGCGAATATGCGAAGTTGCAATTTTGATCATCGATATCACTGTCTCCGTGAAACTTCAGCAGCGAGTGAGCACGCGTGTCAACGGACAATTCGACTATATTTCTGCTCTTTCTTTCTTCCTTTTCTGGTGTTTCTCTCTCTCTCTCTCTCTCTCTCTCTCTCTCTCTCTCTCTCTCTCTCTCTCTCTCTCTCTCTCTCTCTCCTCTTTCTCTCTCATCGTTACAATTAATTCCTTAGTGAAATTATAGTAAACGTTTTTTTGTACTTCAGACTCATCTTTCGTTTAATATGCGTTAGATTCGGTAAGATATATCCGAGTTTCAACCTCTCCATCGCTGCTGGTATCCATAAGGAATCTGAAAATTCATTAAAAAATTCATGTACTTTCCCTAGTTAAGATTAAATGCACTATCTCCGCGCGAGAGATTAGAAACGTGTTATTAAAAAAGAAAAAAAAAATATATATATATATATGGACACTTCAACACTACTCAAGGGTCCCTGGGAGTCCGCGCGCGACGAACTCGGGCAACTCAAAGTGCGCGCTCGAGGGCGTCTCCGGCAATCGTTTAAGTATATCGCCTCGAAAGATCTCTCGATAAAGTGAACTTCGGATTCGCGGATGTCCGTTGCGGCTGTTGGCTCCTCTGCGCGCGCGAGGTACGTCTCACAAAGTGGGTCTCGTTAGTCGCGCGTGAATTTCAGCGTGGACGAGCGTGCCGTTACAATTCGCATTGAATTCATCGCCACGCGTTTACAAAACAACAAACGCGTCCATCGCGTTAACATTCAGAAGCGACGCCAGCAACAACGACACGCCCGCACGAAGCCTCCTTGCGCCGAGCGAGACCCTGAGAGACCGATGAGCGAGGCCTCACACGGCGCTTGTTGAGTCGCGAAGTTGTTCCAACTCCTTGGTAAGCTAACCAATAGTTAAATCACATGTCTGTCTTCGTTTAAATTGAAGGAAAAACGAAAATTAACATATGATTTAACTATCAGTTAACTTACCAAGAAGTTTACCAAAAAGTTGGAACAACCGGCCCCCTGGTGGGTCGCACCGTCCTTACAGATACACGCGGTCTACATTACGAAGGAAGCTCGCCACTTGAAAGTACGACATTTTCTCATGAGACGAGCTCGCCGAAAAGCGCCGTAGGGGGCGCTCGTCCTCGTCCGAGTCGAATCACGGCGCCGCGATCTGTCTCATCGAAACGTCGTCTCTTCAAATTGCAATTTCCGCTGCTAACTGCACGCGTCGTCGCGATGTAATTACGAAATTACGGAATACTGCACGCTGTCGACGTGCGCGGGTGTCGAGACGGAGGAGCGTTCCATCCGCAGGTGGCGGCGGTCTAATCGGTGCGGTGACAAGGAGTTACGGCATGCTTCGGCCGCTCCCATCGCGGCTTCCTCGGCTTTGCAGCTGGAACTGCGACAGCCCGGAGCAGCGTCTTCTGTTTCTTCGAGTCTGCGAGACTCTGGCTACGCTCGCTTTGGACTCCTGTGCCGAAGACGCTGTTCGACCTTCCTGCAGCACATAAAGAGCGGTGAAGATGGAACGACGTCGTCAGCACGAAAGCACTCTTTGCTTTTTCAATGATCTTCCCTGGATCTTCTTATTCCCATGAAGATCTCTGTTACCGGCAGCTGATCACTGTGGTCTGTCCACTCGTCTTATTGAACTTCACGCATCCGGAGGTCGCAGTCCGAAAGATCCAGGATTATAAGTCGCAACGCGGCTTCTTCCGCGGCTTTCGGGAGGGTTCGAGAGTCCTCGACGAGGGAAAGGCAAGCGCGCGTGAGCCGAGCAGGCCAAAGCGCCATGTAACTTCCTCTCACCGGGGATTGCTGCGACCCTTTCGCAACCTTGTCGCAACCTTGCTCGACGATAACCGCTCCGTCCGGACACGCACGCTGGCGTCGGTGGGCTGGACGAAGTTAGTCGACGGAGTAATGGCGCGTGGAATGGAATGTACGCGGATACGCGCGATGGGCCGCGGAGAGACCTCGAGCCGACCGTCTCTTCAGGATGCTGTTCTCCACGGGAACCCGAAACAGAGGGACCCCGTTCCCTGCGGCATTCTCGACACCTCCCGGCGAATGTCCCCGACGGGAGGAAGCTGAGCACCGCCAGCGACAAGCCGGGACGAACGACGCCGCAGGACACGGGCGGACACGGGGAGATGAAGCGCCGACGTAGGGAGGCAGGTGGTGGTCGTCCGCGCTCGACGAGGAGAATCTTAGTCGCCTTCTTCTCGCTGCGCGAGTCACCGCTTCCTGGATGGGTGGACACCGGGTGGACGAAGGAGGAACCTTCTTCGGTGGGCGGCGGGCGCGGGAGAGCTGGAGGAGTCGTCCTCCGGCGCGAGGCTTCCTCCTCGAGGCCGGGGGGGTCTCTAAAGATTCAAGGAGCATATCGTGCAGGTCTGGGCTACGCAGTGGGAATGCAGGGACGACGGGTGCGACGGCGGAGGAGGCGGCGGCGGTGGCGGCGGCGGCGGCGGAGGCGGCGGCGGTGGCGGCGGCATGTAGAGCCAGCCAGCGCCGGCTGGCCAGACAGCGGACGATGCTGAGGACGTGGCCGGAAGCAGCGGGTTGCTACCGCCCCCGGCGTTGACATGCGAGGTCGATCCACTCTCTACTCACATCACCTGCAATCGTTTCGGAAGACATGAGGCTCAGTGAACGGCGCGCGCGCAGCAGGGAAGTCGCGCTACACAGCTCGAGCTGATTCGAACTCGCTCGCTCGCTCGCTCTCTCTCGAGCTGCGCCGTTCCGCGAAGTGAGAAACTCGGCGGAGAGCCTGCGCGACCCTCTCGACCACGAGGCTCGTGAATATGCGAGAAAATGACGCGGCGGCGGCGGCGGCGGCGACGACTCCAGCCGGCGTATACATATTGCATGACGACGCTTGCTTAATGCGTTGTTTGCGCTTTATGCTAAGTTCCCGCAGCGCGCCATTATTGCCAGCTCGTAGCGGCCATTTCGCAACTCGCAACGAAGGACGAAGAACGACGAGGTGCCTCGTTACCGCGTTACCGATTCTCGGCTTCGGCGCTTCGCGAGTGAACGTGCTCTTCTGGGTCTGCCGATGAGAGAGAGGGGGGGGGGGAGGGAGGGAGAATTGAAGGACAAACTGGCAGGAGAATTAGAGGGCAGGAGAATTGGCGGTAATGGCGGCGTTCAGCAGGCGTTGACGTCTCGCGATTATTGTTCTCCTCGGATCCACCGGGAGTCCGCGAGAGGACTCGATCGCAGACGGCGGCGATCATGAGGCTCTTACCAAACGCTGCTGGCCCCTGTTGACCGCGGTTGATTGTTATTTTTGGTGCGTTGCGTCATTGTTAATTCGTGCTGGGCGCTTTGCGAGTGAGGCGCGAAGAGAAGAGGGAGGGAGGTGGGAAAAGGAACAAAATGAAAAGCACTCTGAGAGCGAGAGATAAGAGGACTCTCAGCGTCGGTGATGGCGGGTAATAGCGGCGATGTTTCAAATAGTCTCTGATTAGCAGCGGAGGAATTCCCGGTCCTCTCGGCAATTTGCCTGTCTCCGTTCGGCAAGCACTTGGGACGGCGCGGCGTATATCGATGCGGCGAGAGAGAGAGAGAGAGAGAGAGAGAGAGAGAGAGAGAGAGAGAGAGAGAGAGAGAGAGAGAGAGAGAGAGAGAGAGAGAGAGAGAGAGAGAGAGAGAGAGAGAGAGAGAGAGAGACAGAGCGGTTTCTCGCACGGGCATAATTACGGCCAATAGCGTAAGATTTCGGGCAAGAGTTCGGCGACTCGAATTACGCCGCGAGGGCTCTGGTTTCGTCATGTAATTAATTGCAAGCGCGCTTACACGCGCGCGCGATTAAGGGGCGTCCATACGGTCGGCGATCCCCGCCGTTCAGCGTTCAGCGAGTCTCGTCGGAAATCGCGTCTGGATGTGATACAACGCGCTGCGACACAATGAGAGATGAAACTGTCGGAGTGGCAGATTAATTAGTACTTGGTGCGTATCTATTAACGGCACGGCAGCTTCTTTGGTTGCACTAAAAGGGAACAATTTAATACGAGCATAATGGCGACTAATAGCGCTAGTACGTGCATCGGAAATAGAGGAAATAAAAGTAAGTAAGCTAATAAAATAGTATAAAGATGCAAATATATAAGAAACAAATGGATACTAAGGGTGTTAAAGGCAACGTGTGAAACCGTAATAATCTTACTTTAATCCTGGCTTAGGCAATCCTTTGACAGTCTAGCCTATCCGTGGCCTAACGAAGGTTATGTGATTCAGACATCTTTTATTAGATGAAATTGTTTAAATTTCGTATCCGGGCTAAGGAAATTAAACCCTTCGACATTCATAACAGGATCTTATGGTATATTTAATCGTTGTAAATTTATCTTCAGACTCTTTGTAAGCAAAGAGATATACAATCATTAAGGAAATGTCAAAGCGCGACTTTCGAGGTTCGTGTTTACATTTTGACACTTTTCTTCTTTTAATTTGAGACGGTAACATTATGAACTCAATGAATCGAGTAAAATAAAGCGAGGAGGAGTAGAAGGGCTAATTGGACAACAGAGGAGAAAAGTTTCCTGACGGATTTGATATTAAAAAGAAAGAACATTATCGAGAAAAGAAGTACGGACACGGAGTAAGGCCAGATAAGAATGTTGGAAGGAAATTTTTGATGATACGTTAGATAGCTCTCCAGGTAGTTTAAACTTAAGCTAGGTTTAATGCCTAAAGACTAAATCATGATAAAGTGTCTTCGAATACAAGTGTGATTAGTCACTTCTTATATTAGATCCAGTAGTTAATTCTTTCCGATGAAATTTGTAGCTCAGAACAAAATTTCAAATCGAAATATTCCCCCTCTCTTTAACGGTTTTTAAATGTTGACATTTAACTTTTTGAAATGATGGTATGGTTTGGCGTTTGATGCACATAACCTTAAATAATCAGTAGTAGTTCACGATGGCTGTCAACAAAAAGCATATTCCACACGCGATGCATTTCGTATTTCGTTTAAACGAAAACGCTTCTGAAGCAAAATGGTTTGAACGCTTTCAAAGTGATGATTTTGATCTTCACGACCAACTACGCCCACGGTCAGTCAAAAGAATTTGAGGACGAGGAGCTACGAAATCTACTGAATGAAAATACGGCACAAGCACAACAAGAACTTGAGGAAAATCTGGGGGTAAGCCAGAAAGCTATTTACGATCGTTTGCATCGTATGGGAAAGATACAGAAAGAAGGCAAGTGGGTTCCACACAAGCTAACCATTGACAACAAAGATCGCCGATTGACGTTACCTTGCTCGCCGGATAACAGAGAAAAGATTTTTTGCACAAAATCGTAACTGCTGGCGAAAAATGGATTACGTATGAAAATCCTAAGCGCAAAAAATCATGGGTAGACCCTGGTCAACCGACAACATCGACAGCAAAACCCAAACGTTTCGGAAAAAAGTTCTTCTCTGTATACGATACGGGACCAGAAGGGTGTGCTGTACTATGAGCTCTTGGAACCGGGTAAAACCATTCGAGCAGAGATTTAGAGCAATTAATACGTTTGAGCAATGCGATTGAGAGAAAAGGCCATTTACCGGACAAGGTAGCTGTAAAGTCATTTCGCTGCACGACAATGCTAAGCCGCATGTAGCAGAAGCCACCATAGGAAACCATCTTGCACTTGAGCTGGAAAGTTCTTCTTCCACACGCGGCGTATTCTCCAGATTTGGCTGCATCAGATTTTCACTTGTCTCGGTCGATGCAACACGCACTGTCTGATACACATTTTTCGACAGTTGACGACGTACGAAATTTCATCGATGACTTTGCAGCCTCAAAAGCCACCAAGTTTCTATCGTGACGGGATTCGGCAGCTAAATGACGGCCAATAAATGACGCAAGGTTATCGATAACAACGAAGGATATTTCATTGGTTGATCTTGTTCTAGTGATTTTGAAATAAAGATCGAAAATTGTCGAAGATCGGGCAGAATTAATTGCTAGCCCACAACTAAATCAAGCTTCGTTTCGTCGCTGAATAGCACCCTAAGTACCTGCGAATACATGCGTGAATATGAAAGCAAGAAGAAAAACAACGTGCATTACGTGCTAAAAGTAAACGGGAAATAGGAAACAGATGAGGAAGCTGGTAAATAAAAAAACCAAAACACGAGTTACAGTTATAGAGTATATAAATAAAAGTACAGAGAAAAATAAATGCAAGATACAGATAAATGCGGATACAGAAAAATAGCTACAGAGTCAAGCGAAATTAGTCACAAATTATGAGCAGTCATAATATGGTATACGGTAGATTTATTTAAATGAATTGACCAATTCACAAATATCCCCGTCTCCAAAGACAAGCAAAGACGTATCCAGACACGATGCAAATAATCCGAAAGATCGACGAGAAGCGTTCGTGCCGAATTTGGTTTACAAGAACCACTAGACGGTGTTTCCCCAGGCCAAGACGCCTCTGGTCCGTTAATTAGCACGTTCAATCAGCTAATCTTACAGCGAATGCTTCATCGAAGGCAAGTTCCGCAGTTGGCACAGGTGTTTACGGTAATAATCACGTGTCGACAGTCGGGCCTCAAAAATTGCAGACTGCGCGAGTAACGATCGCGCGATCGCAATATCGCGGCTGGGTGAAGGCGGGAAAGAGAGAGGTGGAGGCGGAGTTGGGGGAGAGGGAGAAAGAGCTCGTTACCTGTAGAATCTGGCTGGCTTCGAAGGCCGTTCCTGGCAGCAGTATTACCGGGCTGCTGACGTGCCCGCTCTCGACGCAGATCATGTTGGGGAACTCGTCGTCGCCGAAGTCCGGTATGTCGCGCGCCTTCTCCTGCCACGGATTCCACACGACGGTGTCGGGGAAGTTGTACTTTTGCACGCGCATCTTCCTGCCGGACACGACGTTCGTGATGATATGCTCCGGCTGCGTGTTCTGGTAGATCCTGTCGGTCCATTCGCACACCGTCACGACGTCGCGGCCCTCTTGGAAGACTTGGTTGTCCCTAGTCTGCGCGGGAGAGCATAAAGCGCCGTGAGAGGCAGCGAGTGTGCCGTCGCCCGCGTCGTCGTCGAGACGCCCTTCCTCCGGGCGTCCTTAACCGCGAGCCCTTCGAGGTCGCTCGGAAAGCGCTGCTTTGTAATTAGCAAGCTCGGACTGCGAGGATGGAGCGCTCGAAATCGAAGAAGCGCGAGTGAAAAAACGGCGCAGCCGGTCATGAGACCGCTTTGCCGGTGGCGCGCATTTTACCTCGCGATCTAGCGCGAATTGCGTATCGTGTAGCGTAAGAAGTATCGATCACATTCAAAAGAAGTAACTTCGGGAACAAGTGGAGTCATTTAAATTTTAGAGGATTTTATTTTTATGTCTGGCCTCAAGAGGATTCCTCTTGGGAGGGAGATTAACCCATTAATGCCCGCTGGGACAGAAATTTCGCGTTGATTTCAATGTTATGAATTTTTGTAAAAATGCTCGAAAATTTTAATTCAAAGTACATTACTAAGAGTTTTCGAGGTCGCTCTTTCCGAATCCGCTGCGAGAATCATAAAAAGATGAGTATTGATTTATAACGGTTTTTTTCCAAAAAATGCGACTTTCTCGTCAATTTTTTCTTAAATCGTATACTTCATCTTGATAAAAATGTTGAATATCACTGAAAAGTACTCCAATCGTGTCCTCGAGACTTGTACTTGAACGTATATGTGGTTCTGAAATTTTTTGCAATTTAGTAATTTCAATATGGCGATCATATGCATGTATCACCATAGATATCGCCGGATTCTTGGGAACTCGGTCGAATAACTCGTTATGAGTGCATTTTTATGAAAAATTATCTAAAATAAAAGTTGTCCTGTTGATCGAATTCTTTCACGTGGTAGGCCCCAAATTTGGGTCATAACGAGAAATTATGTTATAAAAAAAAAAAAAAAAAAAAGAAAAAATCACACAGGCGAATATCGATTTCCATGAGATTTAGTTCTTTTTGGCCAATCTGCTCGAGAACAAACGATTCTCGAACTCGTCAGAGGACTCCCGACGGATACATCCACGTTCGTCGGGAACACTCTCGGCGAAGCCACCGAGCGGAAATCCTTACCTTGTCGATGAACGTGCATCCATGCAGCCCCGTGATCTGGCACCTCCTGACGTCGGGTACCTTGAAGTAAGTGTGCAGGAGCAAATTAAAGCTGAACGTGTCGTCTCTGCTAGGATTGTACACGCCGATGTTGAAGTGCAGCTCCTTCTCGCGCAGTATTAGCCTGTACGTTAACCTAAACTGTGAGTTCCACAACGACCGTGTGAATTCGCTGTCCATTATCGAGAATATCGCCTCGACGTCTCCGCTGGGCAACCGCTCCGGCGACTTCTCCACGTTCCAACGAATGATCCTGGCGAAGCCGTGAGGTGGCCCGAACGTCCATGCTCCGAATTGTGCTGCGGTAATTACGCGCGTCGTTACGAGCGGGTTGTTAGAGTTGTTAGGAAGATCGCTTTCTGCCTTTTGAAAAAGTGTCTCGACATTTCTCGTTTGTCTTTTGGAACTCTCGTACGCGTGAAACCTCGCGTCAAACTCTTATATCCTTGTATCCTTGATTTCTCAGAGTTATAAAATTATCTAAAAATTCGCCCTAACTTTTCTACTGCATATCAAGCGGAATGTCACATGACTGTTTGTACAATTAGAACAAAATTGACTGCTCGCGAGCGAATAGAAATGAATAATGTGATATTTATTTGTTTAAATATTTGAGACTTCCGCGCTGTGGAGAGAGTAATATTTCCACACTCGTAATACGGCGTATATATTTGTCTCAACGTCGTTTGAAGAATTAATATTTATCGCTTAGTTGGATAAACTTGAGCGATTTTTTTTAGAAAAATGACTTGCAAGATACGCGCGAAATATTTCGTTCGTAATAGGTAGCAAATTTATGAGATTCTTTCGACGATGTCATCATGAAAATTTGGCATCGCGCGGGTTAATTGTCTTAATTCGCTGCTACCATTAATCTCTTGACTTAACGCAATAAACGCGTTTTGATATTTTTCACAGTTAAATATTTCTAAATATTGAATAACTATTTCTAAAATTGGGCATCCAAGGCTTTTTTTAAAATCGTTCCATTTAACGGTGACTCTCAAAATTTAACATTCAAGATGGTGGATGCAACGTGACAGATTTAAACGTGGGAAAAATGTAAAAGTTTTATAGAATCTTTGAAATGTTGTATTTTGAGATGTCTGAAGTCGCTATTTTCAATGACGGATTTCAAAAGTAAAACTTCGAAATGGCGAATCCTCGAGTCAAAAGAAAAAAAAAAAAAAAAAACAGACAAAGCCAAAACAAAAGTGTTATTCACATATGGCGTAACTTATCATTATCAATTATATTTATTCGTTTTATCTTGGCATTTTCTTACTTTATAACTTTGGGATAAAAATTTTATACAGTTTCAATATTAAACTTTTTTCATAACAGATGTCCAGTTTTATTCAGACAAAATAAAATTACGATTTTCGTCGCCATATTGGACGCGCCATTTCGAATCTAAAAAACTTAGACTTCAAATCACTAGACATTGGTTACAAAAACTACACGCAGAATCCCAACGCCACTGCTCAACTTTTAAAGGTCCACTCTTCGCGAAGCCCCTTAAGCACTTGCGCGAAATCCAGCTCGCTAGTCAAGGGGTTAAATAATGTAGCATCACTGCTTCGTTCGTTATACTTACGGAAGACGAATGGTATGCCGCCTCTGATCGCCTTCTTCCCGTCGAACACAGCTTGCTTACTGAAACAGAGCGAAACAGAGAGGAAACTTGACGACGTGACAGATCTAAACGTGGGAAAAATGCAAAAGTTTTATAGAATCTTTGAAATGTTGTATTTTGAGATGTCTGAAGTCGCTATTTTCAATGACGGATTTCAAAAGTAAAACTTCGAAATGGCGAATCCTCGAGTCAACAAGAAAAAAAACATAGACAAAGCCAAAACAAAGTGTTATCCACATATGGCGTAACTTATCATTATCAATTATATTTAGTCGTTTTGGCATTTTCTTACTTCATAACTTTGGGATAAAAATTTTGACACTCGCTTATCGAAGAATAATCGTATCGTGCATTTTGCGCTTCGCATCGTACTCCCCGACACACCTTGACGTCCGAATCGTCGATTGTGATTGCACTCATGCGTGTATGAAATGTCCACAGTTAGCAAGTAACTCGTTACTTGTAACAAAGTTACAGTTACAGTTATTTTTCAAAAATTCGAGTTACAGCAAAAACTTGGAAACGAGAACAAATGGGCATTTCTCTGGCCAGTTGTTATTAACAGTCTCAAAAAATAAATATGAACTGCTTATTTAAATTAACGAATCTAATTTGTAAAGATACATTATATACAATATGAGGAATGTTTAATAATCAACAAATACTTTTATACGAAATTGAAAGAATTTGCACAATTATGAAATTTAAAATAATAGCATTGTTATTGTAAGAAAATAACAGGAAACTGACGATTCGTTACTTTCTAAGTAACTGTAACCATAACTGTAACATGTTATTTTTGATGGTCAGTAACTTGGAACTGTAACTGGATACCTTTACAAAGTAACTTTCCCAACGCTGAAAATGTCTTACCGTACTTATCGTGATCTAAGGAGCCTCTAATTGACGAAGGGATTTCTTATGGAAAATCGCAGCGAATGTATTATTTTCCAAAGTGATACGCGCGCGCACACGTTCGTTCGTTCGTTCTCCCGTTCGTCGTCGGATCGCGGCTATTATCTATTATTTTCCCGGGGTAGCAACGAAAAAAGCGGCATTATCGATAACGCTGCGAAATATACGTCCGAAAACGAGCTGGCTCGCTTCTTCCTTCGACCCGTTATTTGTTGCTGACGTTGTTGCGCTGAACCGCGCAGGTATCACGTGTCAAATTAACGAAACCGCGTGTAGAGCGCGTATAAATATTTACGAGTCCTCTCGTTTTGCGGTTGGCAATAATGGCGGATATTTTTGCAACACCCGGGCCGCGTTCGCGCTGTTTTACGCGGCATTTGTCGTTACTCACGGCTGTCTAACGCCGCGGTCTAATTCATTAGTTTATTCGAGTGTAATCCCGGCGAGTGTAATCCCAACATGGCACATGGAACGGAAGCGCCGATCGGATGGCACTTTCGTCATCGCAATCGCCGCCGCGTGTGCAGCGTTGGAGAAATGATCGAAAAATAACGAGACGGACGGAGGATGCGTCGAATAAATTCCCGTTCGCCCCTCTTTTCGTTTTGCACCCCTCACATTCTTGCTCGCCGTGCATGCGTGTGGGTGTGTGTGTGTGTGTGTGGCGTGTGTATGTGTGTGTGTGTGTGTGTGTGTGTGTGTGTGTGTGTGTGTGTGTGGGTTTAGCGACCGCACGAGAGCTCCATCGGCTCGTTTAACTAATTTACGAGGACCTCGCAGAATTTTACGATCGCGTATTGTGCGCCAGGAGCGGGCAAGAGGTCGAAAGGATCGCGTAGCTCAGCGACGACATATTGTAAATAATTATATACGCGCGCGCACGGGAGGCCCCGCATCTCGCAGGAGTAGGCGGACGAGACGAGGCCCGACGAGGAGATCGCGATCAGTTTCGCCATGCGCGATCTCGCGACATTCTTGAGACGCGCCGGGCGTGTTTCGTTTCGGGTACATCCAGAAAAGAAAGTAATTTCAGAATCAGCGGAATCATCAGAATTTTTGAGGATCTTGTTTTTGTATATGGCCTCAAGAGGATTCCTCTAAGATCAAGAGGATAATATTATAAACACATTATTTTTAAAGTTAGAGGGATTATATGTTATGTATGTATAACGCAAATCTTATTGATTTTAATACAAATTTCCTCTTACGTACAGATTATTTAGTCTTTTTCTAAGAGAATTATTCTTACTGTACTCTATTCTTACTGGTTATACTGGTTAATTTGAAAAAATTATTATAACGTATAACGAAAAGTAATATATATATATATATATATAGATGTACTTCTGGCTCCAGTTTGAAGAATAAGTAAACACGAATGAAATAACATCATCATAACAAATAAATTTCCAATCAGTTTTGTTATGGACTTTATAGCTATAAAGATGTTCGTCATAACCAATTGTACGAAACATAATTAAAAGAAAGAATATATTATTTCACTTCTTGCAATAGATTATAAACTGTACTTGACCAAATATGGGTAAATTATCTTTGTTGTTACAGCAAAACACATACTTTTTTTAAAAAGCGATCCAAATATTCTGATCCGTAAGCATATGGTTATTTTTTCGTTCATGGAAGTAGAGCATGACTGAACAAAAGAAGCCGACGCTCAAATCAACATATTCCTCTTTCTATAAAAGGAAAATGAATTGATATAAGAGGAAATCCTTTTGAAATAAGAGAAAAACAGTTGGAATAATATCTAACAAATTTTAGACGAATGGTTCACTTTAATCGCTTCACCGAAAGACGAATCCTTTTTCTATAAAAGGCTACGCTTAGAATACGGGACTATGGGAAAAATCACTTTACTAATAGAATACTTCTTTTGGGTGTAGTTTTCATTTCCGACGGAAAGCACACTAAGTATGCACGATTTTGTATTCGGGCGAATCGCTGACAGCTCGAGACGTTAACTTCCAAGTTCCTCGTCATCCTCGCCACATATTCTCCGCAAATGCTTCGATTCGCGAGCTTCGTCGCGCAAGAGCGCTTGCAATTCTGCGCGAGCGATATAGATATAAGCTCCGCAGGAAGAAGCCAGCGAAGGCTCCGTCGGCGAAGTTTTCGCAAGTATAATATCCTCTTAATTGACTTCTTCAAGCGGTCGCGTCGCGAGATGAGTTGGAGATTCGTTGCGACTTTGGCCGCGTATCAGCCGAAATCTTATCCGGCGTACGAAATCGGAAAAAAAATCGACGCCGAGGCTGGAAACAAATTTTTAACGTTCGAGGTGCTTTCGCGCGCGCTCAGCAGAAAATTGTATCTTCATATTTGCAATATCGCGTGTATCTCCCTTGTCTCTCTCTCTCTCTCTCTCTCTCTCTCTTTCTTTTTGTATATCTTCCTTGTCTTTTTTTAATCTTCCGTCGCAACGTCGCGTGCCTCATCATGCGTTGTCACTCCGGGCCTTGCATAACGGATCGTCGCGCAGGCCCGGAATGAATCGCGATTGCTCCTGGACGCGGCCGGAACTTCATGACGTGTGTGAAGTTGGCTTTTCGAATTTTGTATTTTTCTCGAATTGTGCCGCATTGTGCTACGTTTGTGCCGCAATCCGCAACTCTGTAATTCAAAGCGTACTCGAGAAAATTAAGAAAAACCAAATTTTTCGTAGCTGCCCCGCACTGTTCGCATTTTGAGTTTTTCTTTATTGTGCCGTTATTGTGCCGCTTTATTGTGCTACGTTTGTGCTGATTTGTGCCGCAAACGCGAGGCCGATAACATTTGAGAAAAAAAATGAAAACGAAAATTTGCCTGCCCCCCACTTTTGTCCGAATGAGTCCAATTTTTGTTTGCGAATTCCTACCTGTGCCGCGTTGTGCCGTTTGAAGAAACTGCATATCTCTTTTCGTTCAGTAGAGAAAAAATGTTAAAGTTAAAATACAAATTAACAACAAATTAACTTTTTCTACAATGTATTTATCGCAAGTCTGCAAGTTGTGCTGAATTGTGCTAATCGAATACAATAAAAAACCACTTAAAGATGTATCGAAAACTACTCAGATTGCAAAAAGAATTTGCAAAAGTTGGTAACGCAAAAAAAATTTTTCACATTCTCGAAACTTCGAAAGTTGTGCCTGGGTTGTGCTAGTCAAGCCGAACAACTTTCCCTAATGGCAAAATTACGCCAGACCATCCATAGTCCACAGTAAAAAAACTAAGCTAAAAACTAAGCTAAAAAAACCTCAACAACAAAAGTGGGGGACTGGTAAATTTCGTTTTTATTTTTTTTCTCAAATGTTATTGAAGTTATCGGGGCTCGCGTTTGCGGCACAAGTCAGCACAATCATTGCACAATACGGCACGACAATGAAAAACTCAAAATTCGAAAAGTGCGGGGCTACGAAAAATTTAGTTTCTCTTAATTTTCTCGAGTACGCTTTGAGTTACAGAGTCGCGGATTGCCGCGCAAACTTAGCACAATGCGGCACAATTCGAGAAAAAATACAAAATTCGAAAAGTGCGGGGCCAACTTCATACACGTAACTTCATCGGGAAAAAGGAAAACCGTCTCGCAAACGGGCGCGCATAATTAATTCTCCTGCTCCTCGCCGCGAGAGTCGGCCGTTTGACGACGCTGGATATGACACATCAATGCGCGAGCGGCGAATTTCCTGGAACTGCCTGGAGCGGAGAACGATAATAGCCGAGTCGATAAACATCGCTGCTCGCAGGACCAATTTCTCCGTGGGAGAAGAGTTCGGCTTTTACAGCTAGCCGCGGCGTTCAAGTCGAAACGAAAGTGAATCCCCGAAGGTCGAAGCGGAGCAGTTTACTGCCCCCGTATAAAGAGAGTAAAAGGAGAGGATGCAGGCCGGCATCAAACGGTCCGCCGGTCTCGCGGACCGTCAGCGAACTTCAGTTCCTGCAGGGATCATCGCGCAGGAACTGCGGAATTTCCATACGACTATAAACAGCCCGATTCGCGAGAAGCAATCGACATTCGGCGCTTCTTCGCGTGTATAATTCGCCGGCCGAAGAACGCCCGTATAAGATTGATCATTAGACAAGTTGATTCCTTTCGTTAGTGAAACTA